GGATCACAAACTAAGTCGAAATGGCCGTCTAGTGCTTCCATGTTTTCACTGGTGGTCTAGTTTACATTGATTCATGAATTCAACTATTAAAATTATTACAATCTACGCAAACCCAAATTCAATAATAGTCATCATGTACTCACTAATGAATGGCTACAAGATGGATTTCCTAGAATTCTAGTGGAAAGTCGTGGCCGGTGGAGTCAATCTGTGTGGGATAGATGCAGGTATCTATCTCAGATATTGAAATAATGTTTGAACAAAGTCATGAATCGACTGAAGTTAGACATTAACACTGTTGGATGCCAGCTCAGTGGTCTAGAAATTAAGTGTTCGCGCACAGGACCGAAGATTCTGGGTTTGCTGATACATCTGACGTTCAAAATAATGTAGTTAATCCTTCAGTAGATTTCTGTGTATGCTTCTCAATTGGTAGTCAATAGCGAAATGGGGCATTTACACAGAGTTAATTATTGATTGACACAATCAAATCTCTGGTGACAAGCTTAGATCTTACAGCTTTTCATAACTTGTTTCCTCTTATAATTAATAGTTATATGAATTGTAATGCATAAAATATATTCTAAAGTCAAAATCATCAAGAATACACAGTCGTAGAAAATAAGTGAAGTGAGAAGCTTGAATAACTATTTAACTATCTCTTTCTTGAAAATTAACATTTCTCTGATATTCCGAAAATGTGTCTGATGAATTTCTTGGAAAAAAATTCATGAAATCGCTAACTGGTAATTGAAACAAAATGTGATTATCGTTTTAATAACTTGAAAAATATTTACACCATGAACTGTGATTATCAGGAAATTGACTGAAAACAGGTCAAATACAGATATATGTGTTTAGTCTTGGTTTGGAACACGTTCATCTAATAAGTCAGTCATATTGTGGTGTGGGTTGCTTGTATCCACACAAGTAGTATATAACGGTGGTCAGGCATAGAATGTATTTCAGTAGAAGATCAAGAAGGAGAGAATAAAAACACAAAGCAGTTTGTATGAAAATATATGAACAATGAAATGTGAGACAATGGATTGATGTTTGCAACAGGAACAGTCAAGTTTGAGATGATGGATTGATATTTTGCAAATTAACGATTTACTATATGGTTTTCAGATTTTATTGATGTGCTCTGTAATTTCGTGTCATATACATTCGATTATCCCTATTCGTGTTCTGTTCACTACAATGTCACTGTTCCACCAATGAATTATTGATTAGAAGCTATGAATGGGATCTTCGGCTTTTTCAGTTTCTTATAGAGTATACTTGAATCTAACCTTAACCTTATTATAATCAACTGCTTCATTTAAACAATGATTTATGGTAGATAAACCAGTTGTTTGGGGAAAGGATTTTTATTTGGTTTAATCAATCTGTTCAGTTATTAAATAAATTCATTTGTATAGAAACCACTAAATTATTTGTTAGAAGAATTTTATTTTCTAAGAAACATCACAAATTTCTTGACGGATAAAGGAAAGAAAGAAAGAAAAGAATGTTCAATTCATGAAAGCACAAGTTACCTTTGTTTTTTATTGCATGAAAGTAATAAAATAATTGAACATCTTGACTTCAGCCTTTTCCTTTTTTTAACAGGCGCCAACACTTTGTATTTAAAAGTGACTTTGGAAAACGAATGTAAATTCGATTATCAATAATTATTACTTATTTGCTCATTTGCATTGTATAGTATTTAAGTATTTTTGTTTATGAATTAGATGTTGGATATGGGACATTCAACTTCATATCATTTACAGTCGTGTGAGACTCCTCAGCATTGCGCATCTATGACATCGCACGCTGGATTCGAATGCAAGACATTGAGTCTTGCACCAACATTTTTTTATTTAAAAGTGGATTCAGAAAAGAAAAGCAAATTAGATTATCTATAATTTTGTAGTTTTTATAGTGTTTTAAGGAAATAATTTGTTCACTATCATTTTTTTCACTTTGATCTTTTTATTAAGGAAATGATGGTTACTGTGTATTGTACCCTATGCTAGATATATTATTGTGAAACGTTTATAACATTGAATCTATGTTACTTGTTTAGTTTACTTGTGAAATGAAACAATGTGCTTACAAGATTGACGACTATTATAGTGTGCACTCTGACAACAATACTTTACCATAAAATGCTACCATCTTTGATTACGAATATTGTGTTGATGATTTTCTTCATATTAGTAACAACCCTGTGACAAATATTGATTTAATATTAATCATGAATCATAATGGTTCCAAATAATGTACCATTATGAGTTTACTTGGTATTGTTTTGCTTGTGTCTTCTCATTGAGTTTTAAGACTGCAATTGATCAGTCTGTTATTGGCCAATGTTCAATTGCAGTCTTAAAACTCAATGAGAAGATACAAGCAAAACAATACCAAGTGAATTTAAATTCACCCCGTTTCACAGGCAAGTGTCTATCAGGACTCAGTAGCTGAGTGGATAATGCGATGGTGTTTGAAGCGAATGGTACTGGGTTCGAGTCTCAGAGGGAACATCAACTCTGAGATGCAGGTGCATCCAGCTGACGAGTCCCAAATAGAGCTAAACACGTGTCCTGGGTCCCACTGCTAGCCACTATCCATCTTTGTTTATAAAATGTACCATTATTTTCTTCATTTGTATCAAGCTGATCGTATCTGAAAAAATAGTGTGTATTCTGTGATTATCATTATAATTATCATTAGGCGATAATGAATCAGTACATAGTAAAATGTTATATATATATATCAGGTAAATAAAAAATTACTACTTATTTGCTCATTTGCATTGCATGTTATTTAAATATCTTTGCTTATGAATTAGATGTTGGATCTTGAAAAACATTATTCCATTTCTTGACATTCAACTTCTTATCGTTTGTACTAATGTTATTATTTTAAGCGCATAACAGTTGTGGCATGGAGTGAACATAACTATGAATTGAACTTGATGTAAAAACTCGACAATTGTTGAGAAGTGTGCTTGTCGCCTCACCTATATTGCAAAACGAAAACAATCATAGATCTTTCACTATTGCTTCAGGTTAGCTACTTGTCAAACATCCTTCCAGATTTGTAAACTTATCTAAAACTAGGCATTAGTTTGACTTCTATAATCCATGCTCAATACAAGAAAATAAACGAAATACTAACTAAAATGAACAAAAATCAATAATGATCGGCGCCCCAAGTATAAGGGGTGATGATAATGACTGGTTGCTCAAAGCAAAGTGAAGAGGGGTTCAGACGTCAGCCCAAAGGGCTAAAAGTTGAATGCCTTTATCACTAGGCTCACGAATTCAACCCACCAAGTGGTAGATTTAATCTCTTCTTCATTTACTTCGGTTTGGGTGACCGAGTAGTATGATTATTCGTCACAGTTAGAGTATGGTTTATAAATAACCACATGGTGAGTGAGATAAAAATTAGTAATGTCCTTCACTTTTATCGGGGTTTAATATAATTTTATACAAATCTAAAGAAGATAGTTTTTTAAACATTCGGTAATTTGAAGACTATGGGTAAATCTAGCACTTCTATAACAGAAAAAATTTGATCTAGTAGTAACTGGAGACTAGGCGATTGGAAAATTTGAAAAGATTTTTCTATATGGACTAACATTAATTGAAGAGCAAGTAAAAATACCAGGCATTATTGAACATTTGTTTCGTCCCAATTATAAAAATCTTCAGCAGTGCCTACTCGCAACTTCCTGTAAGAACAAAACTAGGTTGTTCACGTGTCATGACCTTCAGATTGTTCCGTTAAGGCCTAATATTTTTAAATGAAGTAGTTTTGAAAAAATGTGAAGCAATAATTCAACGTAGCCCGTGAGAAACGTTTATCTATGGAGATGCTCGAACATGACCACTCACAAATCTGCTTTTAAACATTTGGAGGAAATAAGCATAATTTTACTAGGAGATAGGGTTTTCTATAAACTAGCAAGAAAACTGCTCTCTTAAATCCTAGCCGAAACTCGTTAGATAAAATTATTCCATAATCTAGAGGGTAACACTGACTTTCAAAGCAAATGATACCAAAATTTTTAGTCTCGTCACAATCAGCGATACAAATTATAATGAAAGGTCCTTCAGTTGATGAGTTTCAAAGAGAACAAAAATTGACATTGTGAATCTTACCATTAAACAAGAGAAGAATAAAACCGACAACATCCTAATTAACGTTTATTGAATTAAGCGAATATCAACAGACTTTTGAATAGCATGCTAACCATCTGTACACTTTATAATATCAATCAAGAAATTAAACTTACAACCAAACCATTCGTTTGATTTGGTAGTTGGTTATATTAGTAAACGTTTGTTTGACTAATTTCAGATATTGGCGCCAATTATACATTATATATGAATACAAATAAAGTAGATATAGGTAGAAAAAAATGATTTATAACTATGGTCTTAAATTTAGTCGAATTTTATAACTTATTTTTATCATATTATTTTCCTTGAATTACATCATGTAAAATCGGTCTTTTTTGACTTTGGTAATAAGATGATTTTAATCAGAAAGGGGTTTTGTGGATATTATAGTAATTTAATAGTTGAATTCATAAGCCGATTAAAGCTAAACCACCATGGAAAACCTGAAAGCACTGGACGGCCTTTTCGTCTCAGTATAAGACTCCCTAGTAATACACACCCACGATCCCGCACGCGGAGTACGTACCCAGGACCTGTTGGTCTCACACGCGACCTCTTAACCTCTAGACCACTGAACCGGCTGACATACAACGATGTTAATGTCTAACTTCATCCAATTCACAAAGTTGCGCCATTCTGAAGACTAGATATTTGTTATATCATAGTACCTTACAAATAAGTGTATGGTACAAAATTTATCAATATAAAAACTGATATTTTATTATTTGAGAGGAATTTTATTTGGAGTGAGTAAATTATAGTTTTATTATGACTTTAAAGTACTACAGAACTATCTGAAAGAAAATGGAATTTTTTAAAAGTACTTACTCAGATATTGCATAAATTTCACTTGTTATTCAATAAAGTTCGTAAGCATTTTTAAAGATGAAGAAAAACAGGGTCCTTTTCGTATCATTCGACCATTGATTTTGTGTACTATACATAGCTAAAGGTTGTATTTCTGTAGACTTGGAATAAAAGTGTGAAAAGTGATGTTCAAAGATATTTTGCTTTATAATATACTGATGTTTCAATGTGTTTTAGAGACTAATGGATTGTCATAACGAATGATAAGTTCGGAGTTGACTCTTGTCGAAGCATGAGGTCCATTCTGATCAGAATGAGACGTAGTGTAAACAGTACCAGTGAAGCATCAGATATCATTTCTTCTAAAGATATATAAATATATATATATATATATATATACTCTTCCAAGTTCTTAAAAGTCTTTGCAGATGTTAATTTCTACACACCGACATCTGAAGCTTGAAGCGAAAAGTATTGATTTTGTGAATTGTGAAAAGGGGGAACAAAGTCAAGGGTAAATTACATATAGTATCTAGTATAAAGTATGACAGTAGTAATGTGTTTTCAAGTTAAAATGACGTTAAAAATATCCTAAAGACTAGTTATGATTTATGGTGAAGACAAATTATAACAACTAAAATATTTCTAACAACACAAATGACAGTCGGCCCGAAATCCCATGCCACACCAATATATCAAGATGAAATTAACAAGACGAATAGCAAAGGAGTCAAATAATAATAATATGAATTATAGTGCTTTGGGGAATATGGATTTGAATAATGAGATCTTGGTGCGAAATAATAGTGAAGCTCAAAATCTAAGAGTATATAAAGAACGAATCTATCTGTGCCACTGTAACCACTTCTGGGCGATGCCATATAAGTCGTCCAGCAGCTGATTAAAGTCAATGTCACCTTCAATTTACTCTCAGCTTAATCACACTCTACAAACGGTTATGCGTGCAGCTAGACAATGGTTAGGGATATCCAACACACAGTCCTCAGAATAATCAATAGTTTGAGTGGTTGAAAATGGTTTAAACGGAATCAGTATAGTAGATACATGAAATTAAGTGGGACCTCTAATTATTCCAAAGTCCCTGTATGAATAACTGTTTAGTAAGTTTTCACATTGAACAATTCTGTTTTCTAGATCTATATAAAAAATAAGGTGAATCAGAACAAGATCTGAAAATCAGCATTTTCATCAATGATGGCATTAAGATGCAACCATATTGTTTCATTTTAACCCAAAAAATGACAACCTGATGAAAACTATACAACTAACCTATATACTAGACACTGAAATGATAAAAGAATTTCCTCTATTCTAAACACACTACTTTGTTTTATTGTTAGTTCATAGGTTGTGTTGTTTTTAGTCCAAGTATAATGTGTGTTGCCTAACTATATTCGGTTGCGAAATTTTAATCACATGTTATATAAACGTGTTGGTAAGACTACATATGATGTTCTCCTACACATTACATTTACAATATACACTAGAAAAGTAACAATGATAAGACACTGAAGTCATAACACTTTACTTATTTGGTCCCAATTACTTACCCCTCAAGGAGGAGTAGAGGTCGCAGACCAGCACTCTCCATCCAACTCTGTCACGGACAGTCCTTTCCAGTTCTTATCATTAGCTGTTCATTCTTTTCATGTCTGCTTTCAATTCCCTACATAGTGTGTTCTTTGGCCTGTCTATTTTGCATTTCCCTTCAGAATTCCAAATTATGGCTTGCTTCGTGATGCAGTTTGGTGATTTCCGTAATATATTAACTCAAAAATAGCAATAAAGTTATTACGTCCAAACGTTAATATTATATTATACAAATTATAGGTTATAAATACAAACAAAAGCTAAAGAACGTTACTTAAATCAGCAAGTTGGTGAGTGTTTGGTTGCGTTTGGTTCCAGAATCCACAATTATAGGTAGTTCATAATTCCAGTGAGGTTGTTATGATTCCAGTAATATAGCCAAGCGTAGAATGTAATGGAAATGTCGCTGCAGTCTATAAATGCAGATGATAGATGTTTCAGAGTTCAGTTAACGTAATAACAAGCAACGGAGAACAAAAGACATGTGTATAGTGGTGTATTTACGAGCGGTTAACAACGTGTGTCATGCAATGAGTGTTACACAACGGAAGAAAGTGTGTTCACGGTCATACACTTAAACATGTACAATCATTTTGTGGTAAATGTACAGACTGTAAAAATTAGCAAAATAAATGCAAATACTATCAAAAACTATTTACAAAATATGTTTTTCATGCCTATCTCCACACATCCACTCCACCAGTAGCGCTTCTAGAGTTACTATCGGTTCCAAGTCTGGGTAATGGAACAGAGTTAGGTATGGGATCTACAACCTCATCCCATAGAAAACAACCTCGTCAAAAAAACGCTAACCAGAATAAACAATTTAGTTCCAACACATATTATTAATTTTATTCTATTAACAAAATAATTAATGTAAGTGAGTTTTCGACCCATTTCATATTACATTTGATAAAACATTCTAGTCCAAGTATACAAATGATAATCATTCTGAAAATGTACGCTAACCTATCATAGGCTGCATAAAATTGTTCATTAAAAAAAGGCTAAACTATACAATTTCATACTAAATTATGTTCTCACACTTTAACCATTTCTTTATCTTTCAAAATATAACTGACATAATAGTTCGTATAATTAATGATAATCTAACATTTCGTTTACAGTATATAGTCTAGAATAACCATGTTAGTTTATACATACCATAAATAATTTGTCGACATTATATAGACATTATGTAAATGTTATATTGTATGGCATTTGAATGTACGTTTTACAGATAAAGTGGTCAAAATAAATAGTATTATTAATATGGAATGTTGTATAGGAATGATTGGGAAATTGAACGTTTGCTTCGAAAAACTAATGTATCTAACAATCAGTTTAAGTGAATGGTTAGTTGTATTCAGTTTTTCTTTAGTAATGAATCAATATCATTCTAAGTGTTTGATATTTAAATGAAATTTGGTAATTAAGCATTTTACTGAAGAGAAGATATTACTTCATGATCAAAGATAATTTATCTTAGATTTTATATTGAGATTTTGAACTGATCTTCAGAAAAAGATAATGTTATAACTTGTCAGTTGAATGCTACTTGTTATATCTGGTCGTCGCTGATTGTTGTGTCGGAAACTCTTATCACTTATACTCGAAACGATGAACCTCTGCAATTCCCAAAATGTGAACACAAAGACTGGTATAAGTGAAGATTTATTAACCCCCCCCAAAACACGACGGCGACTACTCTAGTCGAAAATATACTCATTTATATAATGATTGTACACACACTTTGATTTTGAGATGGTGGAGAAGATTTGTAGCTCAGGTGGATGATTTTGATTAATAATTAGGATGAAATCACATATATGAAAAGTACTTAGAGTTATAACAAATCACATAGTGAGTATAGTTCATGTCAATGGAATACAAGAATATCGTATATTACATAGAATAAAATATTATACGAGAAAAGAAAACGGCTAAACTATAATTTATGGACGACCTTTCAATGAATCTTAATCGACCCTGAGAAATATTGACCAATCAGCAAGCAGTCAGTATGGAGTAAAAATGTATTATACAAAACCAAGGAAATAAAGTGGATACACTTCTTATGCGTGGTTCAAAAACTTGTCGAGGTTAGAAAGAAGTTCAGAGGTCTTAAAATCGTAATGCATGCAGTAGAGGAAATCATCCATACGGCTACAGAATAGTCGGACTCTGGAGCCATGATAAGGTCGCAAAAACTCTTTCAGCCTCGACCACATAGCTTCAATATTGTTTGCGTGCACTCCGGTTGTTGAGTACACAAAATGACACTTGTGGATAACGACACGATATATATAACCAAGTCTATGTATGAGTCTGTACGCTCTCCAATCATTCGTATATACTGTAGTACCTGGATGCAGCCAGTGTTACTAGTGCTTTCATTATCCAGTTCGCAATAATTGTTATAATTTGCGTTAGTTGGGAATTACATATAGAGTTTCCATCACGAACTGACATCAACTATAATACCACAACTCTATTCAGCCAAGTGGATGAAAGACTAGCGCCAAAATCCTAGATCTGTTGTCTTATACCTGATTGGTTCATCCACAAATTATAGCCTAGCCGTTTTATTTGTTATAGGCGCTCAATTATAACGTTTTGTATAAAATCCCCTGTGAAATGATCGTACGTCAGCACTAACTACTGAAGCTGGCGCTGTTACCTTGAAAACCCTCAAGCACTTCTGATTGGCTCATCCATAAATTAGATTCTCGCCCTATTTTCTTGTGATAAAATAACGTACATGTATTCCTAATACTGGTACAAGAATAGATATGATTATAAATCACAAAAGATTAAACATCATCTATTTCTATGCTAATTTTTTTTCCAATGAATTATAGACTAAGCATCCCTCTCCTCCAAAAAATGATATAGGATTCTTCTGTAACAGCACCATTTAAGTGGTAACACTTTTAATATCTCTTACACATTCTTCAATTAACAGGGAAATCATGTTTTTTTTTCAGTCAGATAACGCAAGTTTTACACTTTGCTGTAAATTGATAAACTACTGAGTATTAAATTGTGTCATATTTGTTTAGTCCATAAGGATTGATTAAATCGGATTGATTCTGTAGCAACATGGTCAGTGGTCTAGAGTTACTTCCTGAATACCTTCAACCATCTAGCATTGACGATTCACGTCAATTCTTAACTTCTAATTAAATAACACAGGTTTATATCAGACAAACAAAATTAGTTAACTATAATATAGATTAATAAGAAATTAGCGATTTAGAATAACAGAGAATGTTAATTACTTCATTAAAAATTATGTTTAGATAATCATTTGTTTGGGAGTCTTATATACACCTTTCTCTGTATTCTGTGTTAATCACATATCATTTGGTTAAAACGTTGAACTTGTAACTTTTTAACACGAAGTCGAGTTTATTTTGTTGATATTTTGTTTACCCCAATCAAAGTATAAGGGAAATGTTTCAGAGTTATGTGAACACAATAAAAAGGCAAGAATTGTAAATGTACCTCAAATCTTTACCGAAATTCTATAGTAAGTTAATTATAAACAAGATGAATTTTAATTTGGAAGTCAAGATTATTGTTCGTCGTAATAAGTGCTATTCTAAAGAGAAAGTCTATTTTTTTAAAGATGATAGTGAACTAATAACTTACTTCATTATGTCTGTTACCCCTCGTGGCAAACCATCAGGGATCTTGGTAACTATGTGTTTGCATCACAGGATTGAGTATTGCTGTTCTAGATAGTAAGGATGAACATTATTCAAAGAATGATTGAATTTGAATTGTTTTAATTGTGCTCCTACCACTTGACATATGATTGTCCTCATGACCTAAATTTCAGTCACTTTTAACTACACCTGTTGCAGTCGGGAAGCAACTGCTTTTGTTTTGCCTAGATCAAATCTACTGGTAAAAGAAAATATGTGTTGTAGTACCCTTTCATAAAAATAAAAACATACAAATACATTTTCGAACTAAGATACACCTGATCTCTGTTTTTATTCTAGTTTCAGATTTCCAAGATGATTTTTGCTTGTTTTTTGAAATGTCCTTTTTTCAACGAAATTTACCTTCAAATTTCAAGAAATCTGTGCAAAAAATACCCTTATTTAGGAAAGAATTAATAGGTTCGCTTTATATTTTAACACCTTTTTGTTACTATATACAGTGAAATGAAAGAAATTTCCTGTCTTTGTAAATCGATAAGTGAACAGTTGCTGAAAAAAGTACACATTAATACAACAATAATAATACAATAATTATAATAATAATAAGACAATGATGAATGATTGGAATATGGTATAAGTGAATAAGAAGAAACTTACAAA